GTGCTTATTGGCTAATTGTTTGGTCATATATCGATTTGTGTCTGCTGATTTAATAGAACAGTCCAAATGTAAACGGACGATAGTCAAACATGTACCATGTGTCGTTTCTTATTGGGTTCTCTTTAGAATTTGCACAAAATTGAAATCCCTTTGCTTGCGTAAATTATTATTTAGTCCTTAGATGAAACTTCTCAAATGTACAAGTACAACTATATTAATTTCTTGATTGATGGTTAGTTAATTTACAACTTACGAGTGTATCAAAAGCCCAAATGTTCAAATGACCCACATTGTTAGCAGTTGTTGTAATCATTTTCCTAATTTTGTGAACATAATTATAAGTATAAAATGTGGAAGGTAATGTAGGCTAGTGGTTTATGTTAAACCACCTTGACCAGACACTTTGTCACCTGATGCTCAATCTTCACCTGTTCTATAACGAGACTATTTATCAATAATTTTGTTTGTTAGAGAAATTATTTATCAGTAAATCTAAGTCACATGAATACAAAATAAAGTACTTGCATATAGAGAAATTTTAAAAATAATCAAAGATAAATTTAACTAAATATAATGGCAATAAAGTGGAAAATTAATTAACATAAGATATCAACAACCCACCTTATTAGTTATTACCATTATTTTTTTTGTTAACTTTATCTTACATTAATTAATTTTCACTATAATCAACACACATTTTTAAAACAACTTAGTGATTATGATTTTAGTTAGAACATCAACCGATTAGGACAAATTCTTAAAGAAAATTTATGTTTAAATTGAGTGATTTATATATAAATTTCCATTATGATAATATATACTTAACAAAAATTGTGTAATATTTTTAGAAAAGAATTGAAAATTTTCTCTTAATAGATAATTTAAAACTTAAAATTAAGTCACATGTAATCATATAATTGGCTCATTAATATATTTTTCTAAAATATTGATGTAAATAAATTTAAAAGATATATAGATTAAACTAATTTGCAGATAACATTTATGGTATCAAACAAGTGTCACATCTAATTAAGTAATTATAAATTTCTTTAACCATATATGATAACAATAGTTATGTGAGTATGACGTTACACTTAAGAGTTTAGAAAGAATAATAATTTGATTAGTTAGTGTGTAAAAGAGAAAAGTTAGCAACTTTAAGTAAAATAAGCAATAGAAGGAAAAAAACAAAGAATTAGATATTTTCCAGCTTTCTTGCTAAAATTTTAGATTTTCTTATTTTATATCTAGAAAAAAAAAAGATGTAATTTGTTAGAAGCAAAATGGGGTATTTTCGGAATTTATGTTGTATAATTAACGTTTAATTACCCTTAATTACTTACTATGGAAGACTTAATTGGTTTCACAT